ATCTATCTATCTATCTATCTATCTATCTATCTATCTATCTATCTATCTATCTATCTATCTATCTATCTATCTACAGTATCTCTCTATCTATCTATCTATCTATCTATCTATCTATCTATCTATCTATCTATCTATCTATCTATCTATCTATCTATCTATCTATCTATCTACAGGACAGTTTCAGGATACTTTACCCTTTTGCAGAGTTTGGCTCCAAACAGCGTCTTGATGAAGTTGATGAGATGGCAGTGCAGCTGATCTTCGTACCGTTTGACGAAGCCTTTAAAGTGGGAGAAACTGAGGATGAGGATCTCTTTGGGGTGCCTCTCTGCCCAGTCGTTCATCACCCTGAGGATAGTCTGTCACGGGGGGAAATGGCCGTTTTTAATACACATTCAATTCAATAACGGAACATTTCGGCTGCTTATATTCCCGATATTGTTCTTTCGGTCATGACCCAATTAAGGCCCAGTTGAAAACCATTGCAAATAAAATTGATACTCCAAGAGGTGCAGAACTATGATAAAATAATTGAAAAGATGCGGTAACCAGAAAGGTTTTTAGTCTTGAATTAAAAGGAAAAAAACTCAGGGTTTTAGGAAAACCTCAGATGTTGAAGAAGATAATTTCAGAACTTTGGAGCAGAGCAGCTTCTGCATGTTTTGTTCTGACTCTGGAGACTATCTCATGGGGAGATGTAGATGTTAAAGGAAAATGCTTTTTGATTGGATTGCTCCAAAATGTATATCTTGGAAGCTTTAACAATCCTGATATCACCTATCACCATGGGTTGATTTCCTCCTATGTATTGACGTATACATAAAGAAAAGAGGCAATGTTCTTCTTGTCATGTATGACGTTTCCATCCTCACCTCCACATCAGTTTGTGTTAACAGTCCGTGATAAAAGTAAAGTCGGTTGGGGTCGGGGTCGTTGTCCTTTCGAGCGATCCTCAGGTCAAAGTACCGAACTCCTGCATCCAGCTGCTTCAAGATGCTCTCCTCCTGCATCACAAGCAATAACAAAGTAAAAAAACCACTCTTTTCTTTGTTTTGAGAACACACAAAGACAAAGACAGGTTCTAACCACATGTTACCTGAGTCCTCGCCCATTTGTACAGTATTTTCCGCGCGCAGTACATTTTGCTCAGTTTTTTCAGGCCATCCGGTTCTATTATAGCAGAGCTGAGGTCCAAGTCATAACTCATCGAGTCGTGGCTTCCTAGGAAATAACAAACACACAATTATGAACCTGAGAATGAGCAGAGTAGGGCCCCTTCAAGAGATTAAAGAGTAGAAGAAATGACATCTGTTGTTATGTTTCTGATTCTGTGAGGAGAAATCACCATGCACTTCACTTGGGGATGTCTTAAACAATGTTCTTCTTCCAAAAATAACAACAACATGATCATTCTGATGTACTGTACACTGTTGCATTACGTAAGCAGCTTCACCTGGTATGGTCAGATTATGGAGAGGATTGTCGTGGAGCTCTGGAGGAAGTTGTGACATCCAGTCAGTGTAGCTCCTGTCTCCACTTCGGCCTTTTTGTGCAGACATTGTCCTCTCTATTTCTACAAAAGAAACCTGAGAGTCAACCCTTAATCTCTTAACCATGCATTCGTTTGCAATTGTAACTAAGTACGTTTACCCAAGTTCTCTACTTATACACTGCACTGGATACTTCTACATTTACTTAACCCTTTTTACATATGAAAACACATGATAAATGACAAGATGTTTGGACATTTAAATCTGTATTTATAAAGCCAGGATAATAAGATATTCTATAATAATAAAATACTGTGAAGAGAGCTCTTGTGTATACTGAGTACATGTATCTGATAATACGTATGTACTTTTACTTTAGTAACATGTTGAATTCAGGACTTTCCCTTTAAGTATTTCTACTTTTACTTAAGTCATAAATCTGAGTACTTCTTCCCCTTCTCTTATTTTGTAGCTTGCATTGATTTGTTTGCCATCAAATAAAAAAAAAAACACGTATAACGATTAAAGAAATGCAACTTACTCTGTCAAGATGACTCCTAGCTTTCCTTCAGTTCGTTATAACCTCACATGTGAAAGTGCAGAAGGATACCAAGTACTTATATTATCATAAGCTCAAGGCTTAGATAAAAGAGGTCATCTGTAGTTGTCCAACAGGTTTTTATAGGCATGATGAGATGAGGAATGTTTGATGAAGCTAATATGAAGTCCTTCCTCATGCCATTAGCATGCACTCACTTTTGTTTGTTATTTTGGCGACACATTTGGCACTGAGAGGTAGTTTTAGGTGTGTCTTTGGATCTCACTTCCTAGATATTAATGCCTGTATTTTATGTCGCTACAGACTTGGTATAACTTTGAATACTCTCTGAGGGCCTAAGATATTCAAAAATAATAATTTGAAAACATTAAACAAAAACAAAAAATATTCAATCTTTTTTTTGTTATATTTTTCATTAGTTTTACCAAAATAACTTTTTAATTGTATTTAAAATAAAATTTCCAAATAAATGAATCATTCGAATCTGCCTGTTCAGTTTCTGTTTCAATGTGAGGGGTTAAATGAAAGAAGCTCCTTGAGCCGTCTCTGCGAGTTACTGTGAAGATAGGAGCTGATTGGTGGTCCTGCTGTACATTCACAGAGGGCCCGCTACAGTAACTGAACGAGAGAGTAATGTCAAGTGACAGTACAATTGACCAATCATATCTTCCCTCTAAATGGGTGGGCTTTATTTTCAGGACTTTATGACAAGTTCCGCCCGCTGTGAGGTTTATCATGTTTATACATGTGGTGCAGTGACGCGTCCTAAAACCCGGAAGTAAGCTGCGCTCGGGTTCCCTCGTCAAAAAAGCAATGAGATTTGGTTATGGCTAGAAAGGATCCGTCTAGTGTAAATATGACGTCACGTTCTCGTTGTAACTCTCGTTGTAATCGGAGCGGCTCGGAAACACATCTACAGCAGTAACATGATGCAACATACACATTAATGCAGCAGCAATATTAATAGAGAAACATCAGACATAATAGTAAAACACTGCAAGGGAACATTTTATTGCACCAGGAGCTATCTTGGGACTTTTACTGCGACAACGTTGACTTGCCTGTGAATAAAAAATAAATCATAGTGTTGGTGATCTACAGTGTTGTCATTCTTCTTTGAACACCAGCAAGATCGCTAACACCCTATTTCAACAATCACACTCCCTATCATTGACATAATTAATAGATAGTTTAGCTTCTCACCATCTTTTGCTGTGGCCCACTGATGTTAACGATCGTAACTGAAAGGCTGCCTGCCAAACGTAAACATTCAGCCATGTGACATTCAGCCAAACTCTCGCGAGAGTTTTACACAAGACGGATCCTTTCTAGCCATAACCATGAGATTTCTCCATAGGGTTTTGGAAATTAGCTGGAAATAAGGTCTGTGGAAAAAGAACACGTTTCTACAAATGTGGAGGGAGAGTCCTCTCCAGTCAGACTGAGAGGCTGATAACTACAGCTCAGTGAGGTAAAGGACTCTGAGTGTTTAGATAGTTAACTTTAGTCTAAGTTATCTCAGTGGGTCTCAAACGGTTTGGTCACAATTTATGTAAACAAATATTTCCAAGGCAATCCTTTATAATTATTGGGATAAAACAGGTTTGAAATCATTTCAATGTATACTATAGGACAATAAACCAAAAATATTGTTTTAAACTGGAGAGATTAAAAAAAATGCACGAATAAATAAATGTTAATAGGTCAAA